GTGTATAGCATCCTGCTATGTGATTGCATTTGTCCCTGACCACCAGAATCCCTCACGTTAACTTTTATGGAGTGGAAAAAAAAGTTGGCGTTCATCCTCCAGCTCCACTGTGCTAATGTTATGCTAACATAGCTGTGTCGCTAGCAATCACGTAGCACAACATTATATACCAGGTAGTCCAACTTCAGTAACCCTGCAAACGCCACTGCTGTTTAGTTTTCTGTCTTCACTTATGTTGGAAGTGGTAGCAGAGCTGTACGTTTTAATTCGTTTCAAAAATCTCTCAGTCAGAACATGGTCTGTTATGTTTAAGTGGTACTAGCGAGCTAACTTCCTGTTAACTTAACCTGCTAACTCCGTTAAATTTAATAAATCTGTTTTCATGGATGCCTGGATGTTAAACTCAATTGTTACACCTGGAAAAGCAGCAACGTTGATGATTTTATTAAAGATGAAAGAATTTAGACCGTTTTTAACTCTGTTCGTTTGACTTTGGGATCTGAACAGGACGGAGTTTTTGACCCAGATTACTCCGAAGCTCTTCACTATGGCAGCCGTAATGCTCTGACAATCCATCAAGCAGTGCAGCTTACCAAAGTTGTACTAAAACATTTTTTAACAGATTTCTGCACGCCCAAATCGGTTCGAGGTCAGTAACCACAACCAGAATTCATACATAAGGCACACTATCGATTTTTGAGAAAATTAAAGGATTTTAAGTGTGCCTTATAGTGTGGAAAATACATTATACAGAAGAAAAGAATATATCGCGATATATATCGTTACTGCACGTGCTTCAAATTATACCGTGAAATGGATTTTAGGCCATATCGCCCAGCCCTAAGTCATAGTGTATTTTGTAGTTGCATGAAGCCTTTCCTCAGTGATTTGACTCTCTTCTCTGTTTTCGGACACAGTATGTAAATGTTCCTCAACGCAGTAACTTTATTTTAATAATTTAATGATGCTATAACATTATATAATGCATGACAGCTCATTTCTGTTAGGGGGGGGAATAAAGAGAAATGAGATGCAAGTCATTTGCACGTCAGAACCTGTAACATTGACCCTTTGAATCCCAGACACCAACTGAAGACTAACTGATCATCTGACAGCCTCGGTGTTGTATTTCCTGTCTCTCTCTCCCTCTCTCTTTCTTTATCTCTCTCCTTCAGTCTCTGAGGAAGGTGGGCCAGGACTCCACAGTCTTACTGATCTGTATCACCGTGTTCCTGTCTTACCTACCTGAGGCCGGACAGTACTCCAGTTTTTTCCTTTACCTGAGACAGGTGAGCCACCTGACGCACTCATTTTCCAAGAATATTAGCGTCAATGCTGGTATTGATGTTGTTAAGAATACTATTACCACGAATCTACCAACAGTCACACAGCAGACAGGGTCATTAGCTGTAGCGTGAAACACTTAAGCCACGGATCACATTGCCGCATCAACGGTCAGCCATTCTTTTGTGTCTGTCTTTACATTAAATCTTCCTCATTCTGAAATATGTGTGTAAAAATGTTCTTACCTGCACAAAAAATAAGTATATGTGCAAAGTAACTGACAGATTCATAAACCTTTCACAGGCCATTTTTGTTTATTCTACCGTGCATATATTAGTGAATTATTTGAAATCAGTGAACTCGTGGAAACTCGATGTGCAATCTGCACACTTACATGTCTCTTCACATTGAGACATGTTTACCTTGAGGTGAAATTGAGAAAGAGGTGGCGATATAAGACAGAAGACCACACGCTGAGCTAAAAAACCAGGAGAAAATCTGACTGAATAAACTGGAACAATAGTGTCCGAGGAGGATGCCAGAATAGGCGCAACTGATCTGTTAGAAATTCACTGAAATCTGACTATAAGTGATGACATCCAGCAAGGATGGAAGTTTTTAATGAATGAAGAAGATAGGATTGGATAACGCCTGTAAGAATAGGTTTTCTTTATGTATATTTTATGTCTTATTTTATGCATTTAACTCTAATTCTGAGACTTTATGGCTTATGGTGTTTTGGAAAATTGTAAATGACCAAACTGCAAAAATAATCATAATCATTATAAGCAGTAGTTAGTTGAATGTTGTGTGAATTAATTTTCTAAGTCAGCTAGACCTTCATGTTCTGAGGGAGTCATAAATGAATTCATAGAGTACAAACAAATTTAGGTAAGACAAAATTAACGAATCATAGATTTGTGGGCCTAGATCAGGGCCTTAGAAATTTCCTCTGTACATAAATATTTACTTTTCAACTGAACATTGCAATGTTAGTTTTTATGCAGATGATATCATCTTATTTATTAAGTGGAGCTCTTGGCAGGGCATGAAGCTGCAACTCTTTTGATGTGTGAATACCTGCTTACTTTGATCTTAACTATATGTTCAGAATTAATTCACTACCCACTTGACCCATGTTGAGCTGCAATTCTCTTGTTTTATCAATTAAAAATGTGGAACAAAATTATGTTGTCTTATATAGTATCAATAAAAATTATTTCTTGTCTCTTTCCAGGTCATAAACTTCTCCTCAACGACCCTCGCTGTTTTTATAGGAGTTGTGGGCATTCTGTCCATTGTAGCTCAGGTAACCAACACGTTAGAGGCTATTTATTACTCCTTTTAAATATAAGCCTATTTTACACACACATTAGGATATAATTGAAAAAAATCGCTGTTTTATTTTAGTTTCCATAAACAAGAAGAACAACTTACCCTCATAAGCAGTGCATCAGTAAATATTTAGGCTGATAGTTAACATACACACTTGGGTGACTTGTTCTCTGTCAACTTTATACTTACACTGCTTATTACGATAAGAGATGTTAATAAATTCTAGTGAACTGTTAAATAATTGTAAATTCTCGTCTCCTCTTTGCCCACAGACTCTCTTCCTCACTCTGCTGATGAGAACTCTGGGTACTAAAAACACTGTTCTGTTAGGTTTGGGCTTCCAGATCCTTCAGCTGGCCTGGTACGGCTTTGGATCAGAGCCATGGTGAGAGTTGCTGAGTGTGTGCTTGTGTAGCAGGCAATTATTTACACTACATTTTGGTATTTGCTTTAAGTTCCAACTCACAAAAAGACCAGATATGCACATCTTTAACCAAGTATAAATATGTATATTTGCAACAGGATGATGTGGGCTGCTGGTGCTGTAGCAGCGATGTCCTCCATCACCTTCCCAGCAGTTTCTGCTTTGGTGTCACAGTCTGCTGATCCCGATAAACAAGGTGACAAATAAAATCTGTCCTCTCTCACTTCAGTAGGTCACTGTTGTGTAATAGATGTTTCAGATTGTGGTTTTTGTTACTTAACCAGGAAGTAAAATAACTCTTGCATTGCTGCGCCTTCATGACCTTTCTTCTTCCGCCCTGTTGCAGGCGTGGTGCAGGGGATGATCACAGGCATCAGAGGTCTGTGTAACGGCCTCGGCCCAGCTCTGTACGGATTCATCTTCTTTCTCTTCAACGTCGAGTTTAATTCCATGGACCCCATCCAGGGAGACTACAACATCGACCCCCTGCCACTGGACAGTCCCACTGAGGTACAGCATGCACTCCAATCCTGACAGTAATGCCTCTTTTTCGCTAGTGCCTACTTACTTCTAGTGACTAGTGACTTCTGGAAAAAAAATTCAAAACCAGCATTTTTGAAAAAAACAGCATTGTGGTCCCTGAGTCTGACAAAAAGCCATAGACAGAGCAACAGGTACACCATCTCCTCGACATTCTCTATTGTTGTCACCAAAACTGGGAACAGTCAAGTCAAGTAGGTACTACTGGAGAAGCCTGTCGCTTTTGGAACAGTTATGGCTTCCAGGTCTGTGCTGTAGTGCCTTAAATCAGCATTATCTTTAGTAGCCAGCAAGGTGAGCCTTATATGGTCCCAATAAGAAGTCTGACTGCAAAGAAGCCAATGAGAAAATGACCTTACTCATCTTATAAAGTTGGGGCTTTAAAACTGGGATGTGGTCACCTTCAACATTCACAGGAAAAGTGCGGGATGAAGGAACTTAATTCCATACAGCCATTTGAAATAAATAAAGACATTTTCTTCCTATTGAACCTTTATTTAGGTTCCGGTGATGTCATGGAGTCATTGATTGTTTTTAGATGTGTTTTCCACAACAATTTAAAAGTAACACAAGCCAAGGAGAAGTCTTAAGGGCTGTAAACTGAATATGCCAGAAACTGCAGTTCCTCTAATGGCCACTTGAGGCGGCTTGCAAAATGCAACTTTACAGCAAAAGTAAACAAGTTTACAGTCTGCTACAGAGAAGTGGTTTTGGTCTGTAAGGATAGTGTCTCCCTTCATACCAATTTTACAGTGATTTTTATTTTTTTTGTAATTCACACGATTGGCTATTTTAGGCTTAAAATTAGCAGGTGACTCCATCCTCATGTCAGTAATTAACTACACTTAAATGTGCTTTGTTGTTGAAATTAGCTTTATTTTTCTCCCTTTCTCCTAGCGAGCGCTAATCCCAGGCCCGCCCTTCCTGTTAGGGGCATGCACCGTGGTCATCGCTTTCCTTGTCGCTCTCTTCATCCCTGAGAAAACCTCTTGCTCCTCCTCTTCCTCCCAGCTGTCCCTCAATGACAAGCCCCACCCTGACAGTAAAGAGTCCATGTCCTCGCTGGCCGGTGTCCACATCAACACGCCGCTGCCAGGCAGCGATGAGGAGAGCCCGCCCGCAGCCTGCGACGCGGACTTTGAGCCGCTGCTGCACGACAGCATCGTTTGATGGACAGGTGGAGGGCGGGGCTAAAGGCGTGGTTTGATCGAGTGACGCTTTGTAACAAAGAACACATTTTTTTGCCGTCCGGCAGAACTAAGTGTACTTTTACTGATTGGCTGGAGGGAGCTATTTGCTGGAAGGTGGGACTAACATTTTTATTCACAGATCTGTGACATCATGTGACCAGTGAGGTAATGATTCGTCAAAGAGCTGCGGACAAGATGTCATCATGCGATCGGAGAGAGGAATCAAAGACGATTAGTTGCCTGACAGGAAACAAGAGGAGGGACCAAGTTTTGTGTAGTTTTTTGGTTTTTTTGGGGTTTTTTAATGGAGAAGGAGGCGTGGCTGGTTTAGGATCTGCCCACTTTAACAGAAAGTATATTTGAAGTTTTCACTGAAGGGTTTTTGTTTATCTTTAATCTTTAAGAAAAGGTGTTTTTACCTTTTAGCTGTATCATTCTGACGCTGTGTTTTTCTCTGGTTCTTGTACAAAAGAAACACGTCTGCATCGTACTTAAGGCAGCCAAAACATCTGTGTTGATTTATACTCTCTCTTTTTATTGTTGTTGTTGTTAAGGTTTCTTTTTTAGTTACAGGTAATGCTATTTTTTAAATTTTTTTTAATTGTACAGTATCTTACTTGCTATGAACTAAGAGTGCTAACTGAGGTGTGAATGTGACAAGCTGAGAGACGAGTCAACCACCTGAAATATCAATTTAATCTTTTTGTTTCTTTCCTTCTTTAAATGTAAACCAGAGCAAAACTAAAGCTCAGGCGATCCAAAAGATGCATATAATTTTTTAAAAACTTTTTATTCTCAACAGAGCCTCTTCACCACATAGATTTTACTTTTATTTTTCCCACTTTAGTGTACCAGTTTGTGACTCTACCTCACAATCAACCTTGTTTTTCTTATCTTCCATCACTTGTGTTTTATTTTTTTATCTTTCAAAGTCACTTTATAAAAGTGCTGCTGACTGCTGGCAGTGGGAACATCCTCACACGGCTGTACCTGTGGCCACCCAGTGTCTTTGCCTGTCTTCTTCTCTTCAACTGGGTGCTTTGCCTCCCTGTATTTTCATGCAAGTTTTACTTTTAACTTGCAAAAATACTGCCGACACGAGGTGTATGTGTTTCCCCTGGCAGCAGTGATAATTCCTGTGAATGAACTTATACTTGAAGCACCGGAGAGAGATTCTACAAGAGCTTTAGAGAAGATTTCCAACGTATGCTGAGGAGTTTACAAGTGTATAAATGGCACAGAGTGTACATAGTGACTGGCTTTATGACCTTAAAATGTAAATGTACATGTGAAAGATATTATGGTTTGTATATATTGTCACTGAGCTGTGGGATTGGCTTGCTTGTTGTGGTTGTGTGGTAGCTCAGTGGGATGAGGGTGGGGTGGTTCGACTACGCAGCTTAACTGTTACACAAGACCAACAGTCATTTTTAAATTCATTCAGGTCACACGGACAACCAGTCCATTTTCTCGTTCTTACACCTGAGTATATTTACCTGCACACTAGTATCCCAATGATCAGTATTTATGTGTTTCACCCACCAAACAGGTTTTGACTTTCTGCAAAAAAAACAACCCAAAAAACACATCAGCTTTTAATTTACTCAAACTTAAAATTAACAGCAAGTACTTCCTGTTAAGAAAAGTAAAACTGACTTTTTGCCTTAACCACTGCAGACCAGTCATTCTTATGCGTAAACCCCCCCTCCACACACACACACACACACACACACACACACACACACACACACACACACACACACAC